GGAAGCGATTTCTCTCCAGAAGGGAGATGGGATACGAAAATTAAAAAAAAACCTAAAGCTGTATTCATTCTGAAAAGTTTTGGACTTTTGAAAATGCTCATTCCTCAAAAGTCGCTCCGTTGTTCCGTTTTTTGTGCACACGCGAATTTTCATTATTCAAGAGTTCATAACTTCCTCCATAATCAAGCTGTCAAATCAAAAATCTCATGCCCTTTCATTTTTGGGCGCAATGAGTCACACAGAGATTACTGCGGGAAATGCTTTAATTTACTAGGACACGAAATTTGAGGATTCGAATTCAGGTCGCTCTTGGCATCACCATCGGTTGGATATTCTTCTGCTCTGCTCTGTTTCGTCTATGGGAAGATTGGACATATGCTGAGAGTTGTTATTTTATGTATATCAGTCTATCAACTATAGGTTTAGGTGATATATCGGTAGCGAGGAGAGAGTACGTTTACCACTCTTTATTGATTCATACACATTTTCTTTCTGATTTCTAACGATTATATTAGTAGAGAGCTGTGTTTCGTTCGTTCTATTTTCACTGAAAATCTCTTTCTTCCACTGTAGTACGGCAAACCTGATTATTAGCACTAAAAATGCTTATTTTCAGTATGATGGTGCTATGTTTTGTTTTTGTGATCATTGGACTTTCATTGGTCAGTATGAGTATCAACGTTGTACAGGTATGTAAGTTCCAACAGAGTGAAGGGCACACTTATAGGGTGAGGCAAAATTACTGGTGCCTACTTATAATGGATTTTTTTGAATCTTGTTGTAGACTTTCTCGTCTGATTCTTTCATGGTATGTAGCTTGAACACGCTGCTACTAATACGCCCTGAACACAAATTGGTTAAGCCTTCCACTTTGTGAAATGCACCAATCAACCTCCAGCAGAGCGCTATGCGAAACCGTTCTCGACGATTTTTCAAATTCTCAAATTTTGTTCAAACAGCGTTCAAACTCGGTATTTGTTCAAAACCATGGGCGTGTCTTTACTTTGGAGAGGATTACGGGTAATTCACCAAAGGAGTTGCTTCAGAACACTAACCG